ATTCTCAAATTACAATTGTTATTGTTTTCTCTCGTTTTTAGATATGTTCCTGACCTACTGGTTTTGAGAAAGATTGGTTCTCTTATAACTATTTATCATTTTATTAGCAAATCTGTTTTTTTTGTAGGTGTTTAAAGATGAGAAATTAGAGCAGTGCCGTCAAATTGTTACTTTGTGACCACTTCTCTATATATTTCATGAGACGTGTTTGACAACAAAGGTAGGGATAATCGTCCAGGTCTTATTGTGAAAGAAAAAGCCGCCCCGCCACAGCAGACATGTTGCTTCCTCTGTCGTTGTAGGGGAGCTCTTGGCGAGGAGACCTTTGGAGAAGTTGCTAAGACAAACGGGATGGGAGGATCGACCTGTTCAGTATAATTCCGAAGAAAGACTGTTGGCAGCAGGTGGAGACATTTTGTTCCCCTTCAAAAGGAAATGCGGACAAGGTCGACAGAGGGGTTGAGAATAGGGTGGGGTCCTGTCCTTGGATGATTATGAGGATGATTACTATATTGTATCAACTTACCATATTGTTATATGTAAACAGTAAAAGATTATTAATTTGTTTATTGTGGAATTTATTAGAAGATTAGAAGTTTGTTGTTCAATGTACAAGTATTGAATTTATTTCATGTATTTATAATCAATTACAAAATATTTTATTAATATTATAAAATTTTGAAAACCTGGTATATATAGAGGTATTTAAGTGGGGTTTGTATTAGGGTTGGACTCGGGTCCGGGCCGGGTCCGGGTCGGGCCTAGGCCCGGGTCGGGCCTAGGCCCGGGCGGGCCGGCGGGTCAGAAATGGTGGACCCGGGACCGGCCCGGGTAACCACTGGGTCTGGGCCGGGCCAGGCCCATTATATTTTTTTTTTGTTTTCCTCTTCCTAATTAACCCCCCTCCCGCCCCCAACCCCCCAAACCACCCCAAATGGCCCAAAATACCCAACCTAACCCGAAAAGTTAAAAAAAACTGGAAAAAAAAAAAAAAATTGGCCCGAACCGGGCCCGGCCGGGTCAGGCCTTGTTTTGGGTGACCCGAGCCCGGACCGGAAAACCCACGGGCCGGGCCTACCCGGACCGGTCACTGACCGGGCCACCGGGTCGGGCCGGGCCGGAACAGTACCGGTCCCGGGCCGGTTCCGGGTCGGGCCACCCGGCACGAGGCCATCCCTAGTTTGTATGTTCATTGGTTATTATGAAAACATTGTTGCTATTCGATACGTAATGATGTAAACAAATTGCATTAAAATTAATGACAATTAAACATGATGTTTCAATAGGACAATGAACAATTATGTTGTCGTTAAAATGCAACGATGAACGAATATCTTGTCGTTAATAAGTAACGACGACATCTTGTATCGTCGTTAATTATTAACGACGAACTTTGTCGTTAAAACCAATAACGACGGAGGCTGTAACGACCACTTGACGACGAAAAAAAAGACATCGTTAAAAGCTTTAACGACAAACTTTTGGGCCTATAACGACCATATTTTTCATTGCTAAAAGTCCTTTTTCTAGTAGTGGTATGCTTCGTCCCGGTGGCCAAAATTTAACTCCTTTGAGAAGCTATTCGCGCAGATCTTTGAGCGAAAGACTTCGATCCTCTAGCAAGTGAAGCGGCAAACTGATTCGTACAGCCAACACCTCGTTTCCAAACTCCTCATTCAAGGAATTAATCCTCCTTCTTGGCAGTGGAACGCCTGCTGAATCGAATTTGACAATTTGTTATTCAGCTTCAACTAATTGAATTTGAGACTAAAGCTAATTATGGAGCAAACTCTGATTCGGACCTGTGAATGCATAAGTAGAGTTTCACAATTAAAAAAATGCTATTATAATTTAGACGCAAACTCTAATTTTGCGTCTAGGCATGCTCTCCATTCACCTGCAAACAGGATTATATTGCGAGGATGGTGTAGCTATACACTATGTGGATTCTATTGTTTCTGTTGGGGATGGGTTCCGATTTGTTCAACTCTCTTTGTTCAAGTTTATGCGGGGGATAGTCTTCAATGAGTATTAAATAAAAGTTACTTTTTTTATTAAATAAGTTTACAATTCCGTTTATCTCAAGTTACGTATCTATGAATGTGAGTTAAATGTCAACTTTTCTCAGCAAGTTACATCATACTTAAGCGTGATTTACATTTTTCATAACACGAGTTACACCATATATGATGCTAGTTACACAACAAAATAAGCTCATGCTATTCAAAGAAAAATTATTTTTATAAAAATGATTTTTACAAAAATAAAAAAATATAGAATGATTTTTATAAAAATGATTTTTATAAAACTATATTTGAAGTGGTATAACAAGTTGAAGTTGAGAGAGTAAAACAAGTTACATAAAAAACACAGGATTTACATTTTACAATAATGCGAGTTACATTTGTCATAATGCGAATTACATTTGAAAATAAACTCCTGCTAATGAAGAAAATAAAGGATTTTTTAAAAATTATTTTCAATGGCCTTGACATTAACAAATAAAACATACTCCCTCCGTCCCTAAAAGGATTGCCATGTTTGACTAGCACGTAGAATAATAATATAAAAACTGTGTGTTAGAGATTTGTGCGGAGGAGAGAGAAATAACAGGAACCACAAATTGATTGATTAAAAGGGAAAGTGGTAAAGTTTTTGGGACAACCAAAAAAGAAAAGTTGGCAAAGTTATAAGGTACGGAGGGAGTATACACTATTTATGTAAAGCAATTGTGCAATTAGACTTTTTTATTGTTTACATTGAAATAAATATTTTATTTTTTATACTATGTATTTGACAAGTTACATTTCGAATGGACTTGAGTTACATTGGTCAACAACTTGAGTTACACTCTTTACACGCGAATTACGTCACACTGCTATTGGAACAAAAGAAAGAAGAAAAAAAAGTTATTGTTCACGCGCATGAACAGTAACACACCAATTTTGTCTTTGGGAGCACCATGGTCATCGTGGGTTGCTCCCACGGTATAACGACCGCATTTAACCCCATATTAGGCAAAAGTTCTCATTTTAAGCAAATCGAGGTGGTGAAGGATAGAAATTCATTTATGTATCAATTAAAATCGACTTCATTTGCTTGAGATAGAAATAAATGGTCAAAAATAAATGTAGATGACATCACAAACTCCATACTAACATTGAGGCATTTAATACAGCTAGGTTATTCCTCTTGGTCTGTTATTCCACAAAATATACATGTTCAAATAATACAAAACATAATACTCCCTCCGTTTCTGAAACAAGTTCCACATTTGACTTCACACACATTAAGAAAATAAATTTGACTTTACCGCGGAGTGCACTGTTTGGCACTGTTTGGCACTGTTTGAACATTGTTTGACACTGTTGTAATGTAGATAATTTTCCAAATAAAGAAATGTTTGAAAGTGGAACTTAATTTTGAATCTGTCCGAAAAGGAAAGGTGAAACTTGTTTCAGAAACGGAGGGAGTATATTATTTCGTTTGAAGAGGGAGACAATAGTATACGTACATTTACTTGACCGCTGGCGTTCGTCATATCCTATCCTCTGGAAGCTTCATCGGCTTTGGAAGCTGAAATCAAAGCGGTGGTGCAGGCGGTTAACTGGGCGGTAACCACCAAGCGGATCAGGTGTTGGCCCAAAGACGAGTTTACACTACGGTTTCTGATTTGTAAGATCGGGCCGTAAAGCTTTTTATTTGGACCTTTTTGGGAATCCTTGAGTTAAATTTCGTTATTAATTCTTTCTTTTTGAGATTCTTTTATTTGTATACGTTTGGGTGAGGTTTAGTCCCCTCAAATGCATTTTTTTTATGTTTTTCTGGGAGGTATGCCTCCTTTGGAAAGGTTTTGGTCTGGTCCCCCTTTCAATTGTAATCTTCCTCTTCATTAATAAAATCTGGTAAATGTTCTCTGACATTTACTGCACTGTTTTTGATGGTTTGCCTTCCGAGTTAAAAAAATACATTCACTTGACCGTATACATTTACACACATTTACATTGCAAGTACACCTTCACTTACGTACTCAAGTCATCAAAACAAAAGAAGTTGTTTGGCCACACAAACATTTTTTCTACGAGCCTATCAACTATGGAACCATATTCGGCTATACATACACACGCTGCACTTACAAGTTATTTGTGAGACCGAAAACCTTTTCCATGTGGACATCAAACGAAAAAAGATGAATACATCAAGCAATAAGACCTACCCATGTCATCCAAGGCTTCCACGACTGCACCTTCATCCCCGCCTTCGACATCGTCCCTTGAGGTCTTATCCACTTCAACGACAATCGGCGCAGGAGTACGACCATTGTATGCAACTTTGTCACCGACCCCCATGTCAAGCGATAAAACATAAGGTCTTCATTAAACTCACATTTGTCCTCCTCATGTGCGATCTCCATTAAAGATGATGAAAGTAGCTCCTACCTTCATCACCTTCGTTCGTCACCTTCGTTCGTGATTCAACGCATCTTGCACAAAAAAATGAAAAAATACGAAAAATGGGACTGTCGAAGATAGAGGAGATAAAAGTGACGAATAGGTAAAAAATGATAAAAATTGGAACCCGCATAGGTAACTCAGTTGGTTGAGTGGTTAGAAACTTGGAGCACTAACCAATGTTCAAAACCCGCAACGATCGTGTGAAGGTTACAATTTTTGCGTTCTGAGCTGGACTTCTGGTGTGCACGGAAATATAACCTACTACCATTAGCTTGATTGAATCGTCGTGATTTACATCCTCTCACATACTTTGTCAAATCGAAACATGGGTAACCTTGTGAAATTGAGGATTCAACATTTGAAAGAATGATAAGAATTTGGAGGCTTTACACGAGGTGTACAAAATATCTATACATCTACTAGTCCGTATTTCTTGAATTCAAAAGTCAAAACCATCCACAAAGAGATGCCTTCTGAGTTGGCCAGTTGGGTGCGTGTGGGTCTGCGTCTAGAAGTCCAGCTGTAGAAGCGCGTTTCCCACTCTCCCGCGTATCATCCTTCCATCATCAGCCCATATTTTCCATCGATGAAACGAAAACAAAGTCCAGAACTTTACTTCAAGCCTCCATCATCACCGCGATGGAGACACTCAACCTGCCCTTGGTACTCTTCGTTTCTACGTTTATCCTACTAGTCACTCTCGTCTCCTCATCCTTCTCTCCCATCGACCACTACCTCATCAATTGCGGGTTCCACGGCAGCGCCGTCGACCTCGACCACCGCCGCTTCGACGGGGACGGGCCATCGAACTCCAATTCGATCCTGCTTTCTCCTTCAAAGTCGGTCTCACTAGCCGACTCGAACCCTCTTCCCGGGTCATCCCCGATCTACCACACGGGTCGGGTCTTCACCCAACCATCGAAGTACGTTTTCCGCATCAGAGATCCGGGTGCTCATCTGGTACGCCTCCATTTCCAGGTACTCAACGCGGGCCTCGATTACTCAAATGCCCAATTTTACGTTTTGGCGAATGAATATGTATTGTTGAATAGTTCCAGCATTGAAACTGCTTGGAATTTCGCGGTGATCAAAGACTACGTAATTAGGGTTGATTCAGATAAGCTAGTGATTACCTTCGTCCCTTTGGGGAAATTGAAATTCGCATTCGTCAATGCCATTGAAGTAATTTCAGCTCCAAAAGATTTGGTTGCGGATGTGTCTCAGTATGTTGGTTTTGAGAAAAATGAACCAATTAGTGGTATGTTAAAAAGTGCCTTAGAAACTGTATATAGAGTTAACGTGGGAGGCAAGAAAGTAACCCCATTCAACGACTCTCTGTGGAGAACTTGGCTTCCTGATGATGAGTATTTCTTGAAGTCCAGTGATGTCTCTTCAAAGGTCTACTATGGCGGTCATATACAATACCATATTGGAGGGGCGAGCCGAGAAGTGGGCCCCGATAATATGTATAACACAGCACGGATCATAAAAAGTCAAGACGGCTCTATACCGGACGGGAACATCTCATGGGCATTCCCGGTGGATGAGGGTTACAAGTACTTGGTGCGAACACACTTTTGTGATATTAGTAGCCTTGCACGTGGTTTGCTGTATTTCAATGTCTATGTGAACAGATACTTGGCGTATGAAAACATGGATCTCACTATGATCACCAATGGTATGCTGGCATCACCATTTTATGCTGACTTTGTTGTTGATGGGGGCATTTCTGGTATTCTGTCCGTTAGTGTGGGGCCATCCAATATGAGTGTGACACGAGCTGTGGATGCGATTCTAAATGGAGTTGAGGTTATGAAGATTAACAACTCGATGGGTAGCTTTGATGGTGAGGTGTGTGCGGGTTATGTCTTAAGGAACTGGGGGAGAAGGAATGGCGGTTTTATGCTTCCGCTGTTAGCTGCTGCAGTTTTCTTGCTGGTAATAGCAGCAAGCTTGGCTGTGAAGAGCAGTTATAGGTTCAGAGATTCAATGGCTTGGTCAAGGTTACCAATGGAGGTTCCTCATGCCCTGTCAAAGTTCAACAGCAATCATTTTTCACCCAACAAAGTTTGATGTTGTAAAGAGAATAGACTACAGTGTGATTGATATCCTTACAGTGTAATTTGGCTGTTTTGAAGCCAAAGTAATTGTAGGTATGCAATGAAACAAATGGTTGTGTATTTTGATATTTGTATATGGTTTCATTTAAATGCACTGTTTCGTGGAGGTAAAGATCATTTTGATTTTCATAACTCAATGAAGGCTTGAAGAGAAACTCGGAAGGCAATGCAGGTGTATAAATGAATGATTATGGTCGATAAAAATAGTGTGGTCTCATTTAGTGTGTGAAATTACCCCCTTCCCATTTGTGAATAAGGATATGTTTGGCACAACTAGTTGAAAAGATATTTTTATGAGTTTTTTAATAAACGTTAGCTTTTAGTGACCGAAAAGATCTTAAAAAAAAGCAGTACTTGTTTGGTAAAAGGCTTACTGTTTGATTTAACTCTGTTTGGTATACAAGCTGTTAAGACTAATTAATACTACATTATCTTGTACAAAGTAGCATACTAAGAGCATCTCTAATGCTATAATGTGCACGATGCACACGTGTCATGATAGATAGCCACATAAATATTACTACTTCAGTCCAGTTATGATTGTCTCATTTTACCTTATCGGTCCGTCCCACTAAGATTGTCTCATATCAAATTTGGTAAAATTTGTGTGCCTCTAATCATTCTTACTTTATTCTTACTTTATTAATTCAAATATCAACCACATAAAGCAGTTTTTATTGATTTGTGTGTCACCCCTCTTGTCCCATTGTTAGCGGGACGGAGGGAGTAACAAATAAATTATTTCTTTCCTTATTTGAATGGTTTTATACGGTTTTGATAAGTTTTTCTCGATAATGTCAAGAAAGCCGTCTAGATGTTGACATTGTTGTTGACACTGCAGAAAAATCCTTACCAAAATTGTACAAAATCATTAAAATAAGGAGAGATAGTTTATTTGCTAATATTTATGTGGCATTGTGGCTATATCTCATGTCACATGTGCACCATGCGGATTGTAGCATTCAGATGCTCTAAGAGAATTAATAGACAATAATATTTTTGTTAGAGTTCATAATATTTACAAATTATATCCTCTTTCCTGCTTTTTCATTTACCATATCCTACATACTCTATACTACCTTACTATTTCTTTTTAGATTAACCCCTAAATGGACAGTTAATAAAGAACGGAGGAGTAACACATTATCTTTGGCCTTGTTTATTAATTTTCATTTTGAAATAGTAACGCTATATAGTAAAAAACAAAAACAAAAAAAACAATAGTTTAAAGTAATACAAGAGTAATATTGATTACAACAAAATAATAACAAAAGTAATTTGCATTTATTGGAGTTAACAGTTCAAGATTAATAAAATAAACACATATAGATATCAATATCTTTGTTTTTATTTTGATCGTAATCGACTAATATTAATAATGTTCACTTGGACTTGATATATTCTTAAACCACACAAAATTAACGTAGTATATCCCATCAAGATTTTATAATAACACAATAAAATAAAATACACATAACACATAATATAAAAATAAAATCAATACAATCTTCATTAGATTATAATAAATTTATAAATTATTCAAAATGAATAATTTGTTTTAAAGTAAGATTAACTTATTTCAACAAAGAAAATATGATAGTATCTCTCTAGAATATAAGTTGTCCAAATAAAATCAACTTTGCTTGGTGAATAGAATTGTCTGTGAACAGACAACTTGTCTGCTGGAGACAAATATGTGTACACAAAAGGTGTACACATTTTGTGTACACCAAGCATTTTTCAAATAAAATACAAGCATTGTGCTCATTTTTATGTAAGCTTCAAAAACATTTTTTGCATTTTAAGACGAATTGTCTTGATCTTTTTACACCTACAAAAAATGAGCATGTACGAAACATGAACAAATGAACGTGTACAAGTCTAATTTTCCAATAAAATATACTTCATACATCCTGGGTAACACGGTTAACTCATTTCTGTCAATAATAAGACTATTCTTAGTAAATAAAATTTACATATTCAGAACCACACTAAAGTTTTAATAGAATCTCAAAAACACTAAAATTTGATAAATATTAGATATATAGAACGAATAATGAACTAGAACCTTATTTTAGAAGAGAGTAACGTCTTACCAAAAGTAAACTCTCTATGTCCCATAAAATAGTTCCTATTTTGATTTGGATAAGGGTTTAAGAAAGTGAGAATAAAGTGAAATGTATGATTGATTGAGTAAGAACCATTATTCTTGTTGTACCCAACTTTGTACCCACCCTATACCCACCATGTCTGTGAAGATTTATCTTGTATGTGAATCCGGTTCACAGACAAAATATGTCTTATTTTGTCTGTGCAAAATATGCACAACCATATTTTGTCTGTGAACGAGTTCACAAGCAAAAAAAGTCTTGCACAAACACAATGAGTATAAAAGTGAGTATAAGGGTGAGTACAAAATAGCATTTTTGGAGTAAGAAAAAGGTAAATGAATGGTTGTCACAAAAAACTTTCCCAAAAGGAGATAGAATTAATTTTTGGAACAACCCAAAAATGAAAGTGAGAAGTATTTTATGGGACGGAAGGAGAAATCTGTAAAAAGCATAGAACTATTTTTTTTCGTAAAAATGACTTTCATCAATATAGAGCAAACATGCAGGACAATATTCAAATAATTGTTACAAATCCGATCGTAAGCTCTAGGAATAGACTTAAAGTCGGTCACTCATACAAACCTGACTCGCTAGACATAAACGGGTAAGAATAAGCCTAAAACGACCGAAAATGAAGCACTATCTATCAAAAGTTCTTTAAAAATAAAAAAACTTCAATCATATCTGCTCGAACTGAAATAAAAACAAGTACTAGTGAAGGAAAAGTAATACGAAAATAAAAACTTTGCCGAAATTGCTTCCTCGCACGGAGGTGGTTCGAGAGGAGGGCGAACTATTGTAGTATGGGAGAAGAGAATTTTGACCCCCATAAAATTTGTCTGAAACCCTATCCTTCTCGTGCTCGCCAACTTGCTCTCGCCAATTTGCTCCTTGAGGTTCACCATTGAAATCCGTGTCCGAGATGTAGAAGAAAACTCTATCACGTTGCCTTTATGTTTCTTCGCCCACAAAAATCCAAGCCACACCCCACCTCCCTTGTGTTCCACTCACGTTCCGAAACTCCCAAGAGGAAAACCCACACGAAGCTCATGTTCCACAAAAATCCAAGTCGCACAAATGAAGCTCGGCGGAACAAAACTTTGCAATTACTTCACGTGCGAAATATGAATACATTGTTTGGTTGTGTATTTTTGTTTTAAATTACATCCAAAGTCTTTACATTGTTTAGTTGAAAAATAGTCTCTCCGTTCTTTTTTAGTTGCAACGGTCAACATTTCACATTTGTCAATGCACGTCTTTGACCGTAATTGTGTCTTAATTCTATTAGTAAAAAAATATTAAAAATCAGATTTTGAAAATTTGTAATGAGAATTGAACAATATTTTTTTAAACATTTTTCATAAAATAGTAGCGTAAAATGTAGTCAAAGTTGAGTATGTGAATAGTGTAAATTCAACATGTTGCGATTAAAATAGAACAGATGATAGTATAACTTTAATTACTTGCGATGTATTATACAAATGCCTAATGTGCCCTTATTTTATAAAACGACACATACCAACGTTATGACTTGTGAAGCAACAATGAGAAAATCACAAGTTGACCTGAATAAGTCATTGGCATGCTACTTTTGTTTCAAAACTACTGATTGCTAAAGCAGATTCCAAGAGAATAAAAGATAGCAGACCATAGTCCAATTTATGGTCTGCTATATAACTTATGGTCTGCTATCTTTATTCTTTTGGAATCTGCTTTAGCAATCAGTAACTTTGAAACAAAAGTAGCATGCCAATGACTTATTCAGGTCAACCATAAAGTTTCTTGATTTTTTTACGTTTCTAGCCCTACTCCCTTCGGCCTCTAAACATTAGTAAGCCAGAGTAATATGCCTTGATAACACTTTAACAAACGCCCCCCTATATGTTTTTTTATAATACTCTGTGTTGTCTTAAACATAGAACTATTTAGAAAAATGAAATGGGATGTCAATTTCCCTAGGTTCTAAAAATCATGAACGTTTTTTTATCATAAATAACAGCCGTTATATTAAAATCGAGAACACATACAAAACGATCTTGAGACAGAAATTACAGATCCAATCGTGAACCCTATGAGTAGACTTAGAGTCAGCCACCTCATACAAATCAACATGACTCACTAAACCCGAAACGAACAAATTAAGGCCTAAAACGATCAGAATCAAAACACCCTATCAAAAGAACTCCAAAAATCCAAACATTCAAATCAATTCTACTCATACTAAAAAAAGTGCAACTAAAGAGAATAATAAAGTAATTGCCCCATATAGGACATTAGGACAAAAAGAGAAGAAAAAATTTCAAATAGGACCATGTGTGTTTTTTCTCCTAAATATGACTTATTTACTCCTATTTTAAAACATCCGTATATTTCATTCCATTATTACCCCTTATCCCTTTGCGCAAATCTCCCCTGCGCACAACCGCTTCCCCTTCTCTCCTGCGCACGTCCCTCTATTTCTTTCTTGGCTCCTTGCGCATCATCGATCGGCTTCACCCAGGCCATCGCTGCCGCCGCCGACTTCGCCCTGCGCACTAGATCTATCGAGTTCCTCTCACGCTGCCGATTTCACCGCTGCCATTAAGGGTCTTCTTCTCCTTCTCCCTCTTCCTCTTCCTCTTCCTCTTCGATTTTCCTCTGTTTTCTGGATTTTGAATTGAATTTTCCAATTTTTGGACTTCTGCTTTGATTTTGTGATTTCTAGTTTATCAGTTTTAAAAAAAATTCTAATTTTCGACATTTTGGATGATTGCTTCGGATTTGGCCAAGTTTATGGCATAAATGTGTACATTAACATCATATTATGGCAGAAATGTTTTTGTATAAATTGGTTTTTCTAATTTTTTGTCAATAGCTTCGTTTTTCTAATTTGCGATTGTGCTAAGAAAATTATTCCACTAAAAACTTTAGTTGTTTGAATATTTGGTTATTTATTTCATATTTTTAACTTTTTGTCAAATTTATGGCATTTTTGTGTTAATATTTCAACATGAATTTGCCAACTCTTTGGCAGATCTGAAACTCTTGTGTTATGGAAGATGTAGATCTAATTCTCAACTCTAAATCTGTCAACATAATGGCAGATTTATTCCGCCTGAGTTGTGGTGCTCAGAGGATGGCG